AGTTTCCCTGCCAGCTGGCGTCCACGGTTGCATTTCAAACATAAAAATTTTTTATAGAATTTTTAAAATTCGTTCGGATGGCCAAAAACAGGATATACATGTATATTTCTTGTTGTTCTGACTTTCATTAACATACATTTGAATTTCTTCATCGTACTAGCTGTCGGGTTTCTTAAATCGACTCTGGTTGCAATTGCATTCCGATTGCGAATACCATTTTTTTCAGCCGAATTAAGTTCAAATCATTGGAATTAACTAAATTAATTATATCTTACTTCCTTTTTCATAAAAACTCGCTCGCGTTTATAAATTTTTAAATTTAACGAACTAATTTATTCAAATTATTGTAGACAAAAATGCAACCATGCGCCACAACCACATGTTTTTCGTGTTTGCAAATTCTTGCTGGCAAAATTTTTTCCAGCAAGAATTTGCAACTTCTCTCCAAGAGAACTGTCACTTTGCTCTCACAATTTTTGAGTGTTGGATAATTTTTTGGTCTGCACGAACGCGATTTGGGCAAAAATCGTGATATCGTGACAAATTCGTACAAATTTTTTGCTCGACGAACAAACCTATTGACTTTTCAACCAGCGTTGCCATTTTAGCCGTTTTCCGGCTAGATTTAGCCGGTTTTGATAGCAACTAGCCGGAGAAAATTCGATCTAGCCGGCAGCCGATTTGTTAGCCGGTTTGTAAAAAAAAGTTAGCCGTTTTTAGCCGATTTTACTATTTGCCTAATTTTCAGGTGCAAAAAGGAAACAAGTTGTTCGAAAGCAATAATGCAGACCCAATGAAGATTTTTAATGAACTCAATGTTTTACTTTCGCATCTATGCTCCCTAGTGGTTATTAGCGCGGACACATTTGATCCTATATGCTCCCCGTTGGAACCATACCTTGCTCCATTTCCTCAGTTTTATCACAGTTTTGAAGAGTATTTAAAAACCAAAGTAAGCACAAACGCTTTTGACCACGAAGCCGAGAAGATAATTCGAGAAAATGGTCGCTATTTTATTATCACTTTAATAAAGGAATTACGCCAACGCCTCCCTACAAATATTGCCACACTAAAAAAATTGACTTTTTTCGGTTGGAAATGCATTAAGAGTAATTAAACCAAAAGTATTTGTTCAACTACAGCAACAAAAGCACAAATATAATGCCGACGAAATAACATCCATAGCGATGCATTGGCAACGGTTAACGTTACATACCTGGAGAAATTTAGACTCAACTGTAAAATTTTGGGCCGAAGTTTATCAATTTCGAAATGCCCTAGGAGAAAACCCTTTTGCTGACCTTTGCAACCTAGTTTTTAGTTTTCTTGTTTTGCCTATAAGTAATGCAGAAGTAGAGCGAATATTTAGTTCAATGAATATAATAAAAACTAAGCAAAGAAATCCAATGTGCGTTAAAACGTTAAACGCTATTTTATATATAAGATACGGTTTAAAACGTGAAGAAAAATGCTGCCATAATTTTACTGTAGATGACGATCTCTTAAAATTAATGAATTCAGGTGATATATACAATAGTGATTCATTTGATGATGAAGAATATACACTCGATATAAATTAATGGTGTTAACTAGTCTTTCGTTTCTTGCGATTTATTTAAATAAAGCATGTGAATTTTCACTAAAACATTTTAGCCGTTTTTAGCCGCTTTTTTTTGCTAATCTAGCCGGTCGGCCCAAAAAGTTCTGGCAACACTGTTTTCAACCAGACAGCTGGTTACTTTGACAGCGTTCCAAGCCACCATTCGGCCAAGCAAGTTTTCAAAGTAAATCAAAGTCAGCAAGGCGCGCCTTAACGATAAACTTAAATTTTTTATATGAGAATTGAAGTCGGCTTAGTTTTTTGGCCTTGGTTTTTTGCTTAAAAATTACTTGTGTCATTCCAGTTCCTTTGACTAACTTCATAAATATTTCTTTGCAGGTAGACGCGTAAAAATATTGTTTGGAACAGCAAATATTATTTTCTTGCACGTTCTGACACAATGAAAATACAAAGGTGTTTTGGTAATCATTGTTATAATCCTTTCGCAAAGGATCGTCACAGCTCTTCCAGTGGTTTAAGAACGATATCAGCAAATTTGAAGAACAAATATGCCAATATTCCACGCGAGGCAAAGCTATGTGCATCATGCAGAAAGGAAATGTCATCACTTTCTTCGATGTCCCCTTTGCAGGAATATGAATCAATGGCAGTTAATAATGATTCTGAATTATTCATAATTGGCGACGAAAGCGAAAATGCAGTCGATATTGATGATTCTACAGAAGATGAGCTTTATCTGCCTCCATCTTCACAAAAATCGCAAAATGCTGAGGAAATTAATAACATACCTAGGGTTACCAGACAAACATTTCACTAAATGTAAACAAACAAATACACAACAATTTCCATGGCAATGCAATAGTGTTGCCACTTGTTAGCTTATTTAAATAAAAGTGATCTAACGAAATTGAAATTACATTTAAATAGCAATATAAAATTAAACTTAAGTGCCATTAAGAAAATTGTCCCCTAGAAAATTAGCATTGCTCATATTTTCAAAAATATTCGCAAAAATATGGCGAAATTGGAAAAATCGTCGTATCGATAATATCGTTTTTGAAACATCGATATATCGCACTAAAACATTTGTAGCCTTATTCATAAAAAAATAAAATAGCTTTATAAAAGGTTTATAAATTGAAAAATGTATGAAAACGTCAATGTGTAAATTCTTTAAACCTACTTTATTTTTTATGAATAAGGCATTGGCGCGTATTCATAGTCCAGCAACTAAGTCGAAACTAATAAAGTTGCAACTTAAATTTAAGTACCAACTTAAAATTTACCTCTATTCATAGTCGCATTTCAGACTTCTACGAAGTAGTTTCGACTTAGTTTACGATATAGCAAAACGAGTGTGAAAATGTATCGAGTTTTCTTTACGATATTTTGGAAGAATCACATTTTTATTAAATAATGTCAAGTTTGATCATCCGTTTATGTAATTTTTATTTTCATTGCATGATTATGCAAAAGAATAAGGTATCATTTTCTTGTTAATTGTGTGAAATAGCCAGAACAACCCCAGTGATGTGAAGTCGATGTTTATCGAAAGCATGCTGTGAAACATACAAATAGTAGATATCTAAATGTTATGCATAAATTTACTTTAAAAGAACTAGCGTGAAACTGACTTATTATTTGAGAATTTATCTAAATTATTCCAATTATAAAATTGTGATGTAGCTTTATTCCGATTAAAATGGATCGATCTTTGTAAATTTTAATTGGAGATTATTCAATTTTATCAAAATCACCCTCTACCAACTTAATTTTTACATATTTCGTCTGTTTTCCCTTAATTTGATAAAATACTTCTTCCCAGTTACGACTTAGTTGCAGTTGCAGCCGAAACTAAATTTTAAGTTGGTACTTAGCCAGAAAAGTCGAAACTAAGGCGACTATCAATAGCTTTAGTTGTGACTTAGAATAGTTTCGACTTAGTTGAGTACTAAATATGACTATGAATATGCGCCTATCAGTTGATTGTCTGTGTTTGCTTTCACCACACATTTTTGGTGAACTTTTTGTGACTGTCTCCTTCTGAATACCCAATACGTCAAGTCTCAAAAATAGTCACTAATTGCTAATCTCAAATTTAGTGACTTGAGATGAGACAGAATTACTGAATCCCAGAATTAATCCTCTAAAACGCACTGCTATTGGAACAGACTATTTATTTATCCTATAACTTTCACCTTATCTGTCAAGTCTGTGGCCTGGTGGAGTTCGAACCCCGCTAAAGAACGCAAAGCAAGGCGAATTCACATGAATTCAGATGAATTCGCCTTGACTTTTGGTCGAAATACATATTTACATACATATGTATGTATGGCTTAAATAAGTACATATATCACTCCACCGTACTGATCAAGAAAAGAGTCAACATTTTGGCCACTGTTGCAAAATCATACTGGAATCTATTTGCAACTGTTGTAAAACTATCGACATTTAAACAAGTATTTTTGAATTGATGCAATGGAACATATAGTTGAATTTGTTACTGCGGAGGATGACTATGCATCAGAGAATTGTAAGTAAAGGTTATCAAACCTTTTGTATGGTAGCTAAAAACAAACTAATCAATGTTGTAGCTTTCAAATGGGATAATAAATCTATAAATATTTATCTGAATGCATATATTGAGCGAAAGGAGCGCTTCCGGGACCCCAAAGAAAAAAAGAAACTATTATGGAGGGAGATCTTACAAGTTATGCGCGCTGCTGGGTATGAAGTGGAAGATGAAGATATACTGGATCGTAAAATGCGCAATCTTAAGAAAACATATAAGACGGTACAGCTCAATGCCAGCAAAAGCGGTAAAGGTGTGTTTCATTAGACTGATTAAAATTACTTTCACTAAAATTATTGATTTATTCTATTCCAGGACGGGAAAGCATTTCGTGGAAATATTTTTCAACAATGGACGATATTTTCGCTTGTGAATGGCCTCAACCATCACCAGACTCTGAATCCGATATAGCTTCCTTTTCGACAGAGCCTGGGAGAAGTGTAAAGGTTGAGCAAACTAAACGGCGAATTGGAATTGCCAAACCCACCAACTCCTTGAGCTTATTGAGAAGAAAACAGCTAGCAATAGAAAGAAAGAAACTAAAGGCCTTGGAAGATATGCACGAAACAATGAAAAAGTTTCTTGATAACCGGAAAAAATCGCTTATAGAGGATGCTAGCGGTGTTTTTGGACACTATGTTGCGGCAAAACATCGACAATACAGCGGCCCCGTGAAAAGTTATTTTGAGTTTGAAATTGCTAAAATTATGTTTAATGCCGATACAGGAGCCTTTGATACGTAGATACTAGTTGAAATAAAATAATATATAAGTAAGAATGAATAGTTATTATGTATATACAGGCAGGTCCTGCAATTCACTTCCAAGTGAATATCAATAAATTCGTTTTGAATTCAAATTGGCAGGGATTGAAATACACTTGGAAGTGAATTGCCGAACCTGCCTGATAAGCTCTAAAAATAGGTATATTTATTAGTGCTAACTCGGAACCCAACAAACATACATATCACACACAGTCTTCAAAAGAGTCACAACTCGAAATTTGGCATTTTCGAAATTATGCCCAAAAAAATGTTCACAGAGCTTTAAATTACCTTTCCACAAAAGCTGGAGCAAATTTGTTATAATTTGTTTAAAAAAAACCGAAGGTAAAGTCGCACGCCTAGTTTTTTCGCCATTCTGACGAACGTATTATTTTGAGTTTTGACTCTTTTGAAGACGGTGTGCGATATGCACATATATGATAAAGTTCCCGCTCTGTCCCCATGAGAGTATCATATTTTAGTTTGCAATTAATTTTATGAAAAATTATTCTTAAAAAGAAGAATAAAGGAATGCGTTTTTTTCTATTTTTGCAATTAATGTAATAAATATGACTATATAAAAACTCAAAAAATTTTAACCAGATGAACCAATTTTTAAAATTTGTACAAAGTAATTTCTGAAATATTCCAACGCTAAGTGCAAATGAAGTATTATAATTTCATTGTGATCTAATTGTGGCAAAACAGAGATCGTAAACGTTCTCTGAAATTACGTTCTCTGGGCAAAAGGTGCCATTTTTTTGACAGCCGGTTGCGCGCAAATTTATCTTTCAATTCATGCTATTCGTCTCTTTTTGGTGCAGCTGATGTTGGTATGCTAAACAAGTTTACAGAACGAAACAACCATATAAGCTTTATTTTCACAATAGAAATTGAGCGGCATTTTTACCAGCAGCAAGGAAAACGCATTGATATTTCGCTATACACGCAAAAGGAAAAGTGAAGTCGTCTGTTGCAGTTGTGTATTTAATTTTTATACAAATCTATTTGGAAAGTGCATATAGAGATCACCTAACATCGTTTAATACAAAACACTAAAATATTGGAGAAATTAGAGGTGAGTATATCACGTTTTTCATTGGGGAAAATTTTTGGTGTTCGGATAGCTGAGTAGTGGCAAACAATGGATTTTATTCCCCTCATGATGATTAAGCTCTAAAAATTGACATCATAATTTTGCAAATATACCTAGCTATATATGCAAGCATAAAAGTGAGGGTTTACCGTCTTAACTTTGAAGCTAGCAGAGATTTGGTCGTTCCGCCCGGCTCCTCGCAAGTTAGTCAAGAGGTTAGCGAAGGAGGTGAACGAACCTTTTTTACATAGTACAGTAATATGCAATTTTGTGATTTTCCTCTACTTTGTCTTTATGTACGATTGAACTTTGTGTGCGTGTGTTCGCATGTTGTGCATTGACGCCTCTGTACACCAGCGCCGCGGGTTCAGTAGGTAATCATTCTCGGCAGCTGCACTTCATTGCGCGCCTATTTTTTCATATACTATACATATGTATATGTATAAGTATGTATTTACCTACATCCCTTCATTATACCAGTATGTACGTTGAGGCAACACATTTTGGAATATGCGCGGAAAATTGGGTTAGGAAAACCCACGATATTGCGAAACCCGTATATATATACATACGTACGTGTATATATGTACATGAGAAAATATTAAATGCAAACATGAACAAGTTCAAAGGAGAATTTTTCTAATAACTTTCCCTCCTTGGCAGGCAATGTTAACGTCCGAGTGGTCTTCTGCCATGGAAAAGCTTTTCATAAAATGTATTTGCCCTTCGGATATACTGTAAATACCTCGTCCAAACACTTAACAGAAATGTAGCCGCCAAATATATTTTTGTATACCTACCTGCGTATATACGTTAGTGGTATAATGACCTTGTACAGGCCGCTCGGAAACACGTTTTCTTACAAAATATTCGTACATACATTCAATATTCCATTGACTTTTATTCTACTTGTTGTCAGCATCTGTTTTGTCGCTTATTCAATTACTGGTACTTACGTTATTGCTTATTTATTTTTATTTTTTTAATACATATGTATGTATGTAAGTATTTACAAGTATAGATATGGAATCAAACGCATTGTAAAGTTCATTCCCATTTACGAAAAGTGAACGAACTTTGTGTTTAATTGTCAAACGACTTAAGCATTTATTCCATTAAAACGTAAATGTTTTAAAATAAATGTATACTCTCATATTTGCTAAGCATTTGAGAGATATTGCTTTAGAAATTGTAACAGCGATTCTCGTGATCCTAGTAAACTTTTGATAGACATGTATGGATGCTGTCGACTAAAATATAAAACCGTAGATACATATGAACATACATACAGGGTGTCCCAGAACACAACGTCAAGCCGAAACGGGGCGACAGGATTGATTTTAACCATCATGAGACAAATCAGAAAAAAATCTATCCCATGCAGTTTGAAAATTATGGGCATTTAAGAAAAACCTAGAAATTTGGTCAAACTGTAACCATTTTTCGGTTATTGTGGTTAATTTTTATTAGTTTTGTTCATTTAAACTTTGGAACCTTAACGCTAAATAACATTTCTAGAACCTAAATCAAAAATATTGACACAATTGCCCCAAGTTATCTAGAATTAAGACTATTTGTTAAACTATGAATTAAAATTTTTTATAATTTGTCGAATTTGTAAGGCCCTCCTTTAAAAAAATGTACTAAAGAGCCTTGGCAAGTGCCATTAAAAGTTCGCGCATTTAACCAGGATATAAAAACCTCAAGTAACCCGGTTTTTGCTAACCCATTTTACTCAGTTCAAATGTTTTTTATTCGCACAAGCTCTTGGTAGGTTCTTAATTTTACGGCAGTGGTAGCCAAATTCCTTTAAAAAAAGGGCTAAAAAAGGTCGTTGTGGCTAAAAGTGGTAGCTAAATTTTTCACTTACATATACATATATAAGTATACACGCAAACATTTTCAATAAGTAATGATATGGAAAAACAATGAACTCTGGAAAAAAACGCTAATATTTTATCCTACCAAAAACCTTTTTCTATAAAAGGGGAAATATACGACACCAGCTTGCTGGCTCGATCAAGTGATTGTACCATCAGGCTCGAAGCATATAACATACCAGCATGCTGGTACAATATTTATTTCTTTACAAATGAGTTCGAGGAAAAATCGAAATGATTAGAGCCGAAATTTCATAATTTTTCTACCATTTTGTTAAACATTTTTTTCACTACTGCAATATTGTGAACTTAATCTTCCATAAACACGGCTTTGACTCATATAGTGCAAGAAATTTCCGCCAAAATACTTTTTACTTAGAAAATTGAGCTAATTTGACCACTCACGACACCAGCATGCTGGTACAATCATACAATTTTCAAATAGTTTTTGAAGTCGCACCAGCAGCTGGTACAATCACACCACGAGAACATACACGGTCAATCGACATGCTGGGCCATTTAACAAATTAAGCATATTAAGGGACGGTTATTCAATGTCTGGTTAACACTAATCTCCGGTTAAACATAATTATCGACGTTAACGACTCCCTGTTGTATGCATGGGGTCGAAGACGTCGATAACGATGTTTAACCGCAGATTAGTGTTGACCAGACATGGGGTAACCGGCCCAATGGGCCGTAACCTTATCTATTTTAAAATATAGTTAAATCGTTAATAGATAAGTTAACAGCCTTAACACTTTTACAGTACGTATGTATAAAAAGGTAAGGAACATACAATATATAAATATATACAGTATATAAATATCAGTATTTCTTAGTTTAAAAATTCATCTCCTACATAAATGAAAAAAAAGAGGACAAAGTAAGCATATACAACTTTTTCATGCCAAGTATGAATTCTCCAAAGGGCTAGAAAAAGGGCTTTGGGCAATTTTAAATTTATGTGGCCAAAAAAAGTAACTGGTAGCTAAATCTAGCCACCAAAGTGGTAAAACGGCAACACGATGATGAGAGAGATCCCTGCAAGAACAGTGACTATCATTTGACAAACCATTTGAGTGGCAAGACTGATAGAGATTTCTGTCACTGGCTACCTACAAGTTTCTGTCAAATTCTAAAGGGCAGTGTAACAAATCTGATGTAAAAATTTGTGTACAACTTATGGCCTTATTTAATGGTCTCTTTTTAACCAACGCAAAATTTGCAAATGTGTTAGTAAGATAAATGAGAATGTGTTAGTTTCCAGCACACAATTCTTGTGGGGATGGATAGTGGACATGATTCAATAATAGTAGCGTTCTTGTTTGCGATAGTTTGTACCAGTTCTTGTATCCAAAACACTTGTAAGAAATGGAAAATTGAGAGCGCAAATTGACATTTCTTTCTGAGGAGAAGTTGCTAGTTTTTACTGGATAAATTTTTGCTGGTAAGAACTTGCAAGTGAGAAAACCAGCTGATCGAATGTTGCTGGGTGGAATTAAAACTAATAAAAGAAATGTTTTGAGGTTCTCATAGTTTGAAATTGACAAAATAAACATATTTAAATATAATATATATTGTTTTAATAGGAACTAGCTGCGAATAAACAACAAATTAATCAGCTGTTCGTAAAACTTGCAAATTATTATCGGTTTTGCGTTCCTGTACTTTTATGCTATGAGAGCGAATTCTCAGAAATTAAGTTACTGGAGAATTACTGGCAAGTTACTGGATAATTTGTAAAAGAACACTACTAATACAAGGTTCGATCGACTGACAGTTGTCTCTCTCGCACCGCTCCCTTAGCAGTGGCACCGTGTTGCTTCTTTGCAAATTTACATGGAAACAGTGTAGCTTTGGTGTGGAATAGAAGTATACGTTTTTGTGCAATATGTTTATTTGTATATGCATATGAAGCATATTTAACTGATGAAAACATAAACTGTTTCTAAATTGGATGTTTACATCAATCTCATAGTAGTCTTTATTCTGATTTTGAGTCATTTTGCCGTTTTTATACAGCTAAATAGCACATAGATTACGCAACTCACGTAGATATACCAGTATTACGTTCAACATTTCGTTTAAAATGCCAGATTTCCTGCAAAAACATTGGAATTTACAAAAGGAATTTCACTACTAATTGCCTACTTTGCGTACTTTTCCACTGCCATTTTCGCACCAAGAGATTTCATTCTTCCCCTGTCTCCGTCCTTCGTAAATGCAACCTTTTGTAAGGGATTGTCAAAACGCGGTTGTCAATAATTATCTAACCTTGTATT